CACACATTTCACAAGTAAATTCCAATCCCTGCACTACCAAACAAACCCATGCATAACAGCTGCATTCGGCCACCCAACTTAACAGCCATACAGGGAGCCGAGTCACAAAAGGCACAAAAGCTGAGTGTCTTGGGAAGCACGTGTCCAGTCTATGTCCTTGGTTCATCTAGCTGCACTATGAGGCACAACACATGACTACATCGGTGTTACTGCATCACACGATCACACTGCTGACTAGACGAAGCTTTAGAGCATCTAATCCTTCTACATGCAAAAAATATTCCCTTCATCTGCAGTGGCAAACTGGCAAATGGCAAACCATTATATACTGAATGGTCACATTCAAAATTCTCGTCTGAGAGAATGAGGAACATTTGGTATCCTTGCACATAAAGTAATGAGTTCTTGCCTTTTCATTTACAAAAAGGACAGGAAGTAACAGGCCAAAACCCTTATCAAAATAATATTCTCAAATACAGTTAGGTGGAAATTACAGATTTGATGTAGCATTAATTCTGCTGCATTATGCATTAACATTACCAGATTATCTTTAACTTCCCAGTGACATCTTAGGCTTTTTTCCACCAAACAATGTGCCGTTCAGTGGACAGAGTAAAAAATCTTGGGAATAAATGAAAGCCAAATAGAGAATTAGGCTGTTGTAATTGTTGTCCTTGCTGTATAAATAACACTTTAAAGTAAGATTTACAAATACTTACTGTTATTCTATGTAAATTAAATAAAGCTCTTTTAATTCTGGGAGAAAAAAAAACACAAAAAATCCTCCTTGATTGGACCATGTTTGACCTGTCCTCCCTACTGTAATCCAAAGAGACCCACGACACCCTGTGGTTGTCAGAAATAATGCAGGAATGCAGAAAGCCATTAAGAATGTGAAGATGCTTAGCACCATTCTCTGGTTCACAAAATCAAGATGTGGCTAGAAAAATGAAGACATTGAACTATTTACAATCCAAGTTAAAGAGTCAGTAAAGATGACCTTAACAGGATCAACATTTGTGACACGCACACCAAGACAACCCAACCCAAAGCAACAATCACCACTCAAAACACAAACTCCAATGATTTTATCTCCAGGCAAATATGACAGCCATCCTCCCACGGAGTAAGAAGCACCTCTTTTATGGCAACTGTGTAAATCCCATATATTCTCTCCTCGAAAAACAACAGTGTAATGAGGAAATCTCACAGCCTGCAATGTATACCCTACAGCCTTCCATACATGCACTGGAGACACAGAAAAGAGAAAGAATCTGCTGAAGGCTATAAGAGAGCATGCTGCCTTCCAAACTACTTTGAACTGCTGAAATGCCATCCCAGCTAAAACCAGTCCCTGGGGCTGTCCTTTTATATAGCTTCCCAAAGGGGAGAGGGAATACCACAGCTAGCTTTGCAATCCTCCAATATAAATACTGTACAGTGGAGAGTAAAGATCACCAAAGGTGTGTGTTTTATGCACGGTGTGCTCTCTCTGTTAAGCATCTGTTGTGAAATAACCTTTATGGTGCCTTCTCTTAATTTGGAGACATTTATGTTAATGATATAGTTGCAGATGTACACCTGAAGCTGAAAGGTAAGTATTCTGAAATGAAAGCATTGTTGCATAAACTTGAAATATAGAAAGCAAACAAACAAGTGCTAAATACTTTCTCTAGAGAAAAATCTTGTTAAAAGAACTGCTGGATGAAATTCTATGACCTATGAAAACTGTAGGTCATAGTAAAGGACCACAATATATCTCTTTCACGCTTTAATAAGTATTAAATAAGACAATGTTAATAAAGCCTGCATGTGGAATATATTTTTAAACAGATCAGAAGGTTTAACAATGCTCTAATGTCTAACAACACACACAACACAAATACAAGAGGAAATACATTTGAGATTTGGTGTCAATCTTCTGAAAACTGCAGCGACTACTTCATATCTGTATCCATTCTTTGGTTAAGACTGACAAAAACTTAGATGTGGCGTTTCATCAATATTCTTCAATTAATCTATTAAAATTACGGAAACTAATAACAAAAACAACCAAGATGTCTGTATCAAATACTGAAGTTAGCTGTGGTTGAATAAAGGGGCATGTATAAAGCTATTTATTTGCAAGCTAATTCAATGCAACGCCTATTAAAGTGTATTTTGCCAGTGACAGCAAAATAAATCGGCAAGTGTATAAAGAAGAAAGATTGAGTATTTGTTGCTTTCAAACAAACAGCTCCTGCCTCTCCAGTTCAGACAATGTATTACCAAACTGTGCTCTTCCTCTGATCTGGCTACGTTTTACTTTCAGAGTTTGCCAACCATTTATTTCTACTGTGTTAGGACGGAAGATTATTTCTTCCGTAAGCATATATGAAGTCCACATATCATCACCTGTAACTGTTCAGCAACCACACAAGACCTTTTAATTACTTCATTGGATAAACATTTGCTTGAGTCACCAAAGACTAATTCTACATCTTTTCCTGGAAAAAGAGATTAAAATTAAAATGCTGAAACACCTAAACTGAGCAAACATGCAGTCATAATTTACCCATACCCTTTCCACTCTTTTCCTGTTGCATGACCAAACTAAACAAGGAAGTGAATGAAAAGCTAACACTCATTTGCCAAAATGTTCACCTTTAGAATAAACAAACCACAGCGCAGTTTAATGAAAAAGGAAAACATCCTGTTGCCACTGACAGTAATCACTGAAAGCACACAGCATGTGAGACTTTGGATCAATGAAAGATCAAGAGGGAAGAAAGGGAAAATGATATAAATTATTAAAAACACACAAATTAAAGCACGATGTTATAGAATACAATGAATTCAGGTGATAATGTTCAATTCACATCTAAGGTATAATTCAACTGAATGCAGGAAGAATTCAAGTGATAGATATAATTAATTTAAGGCAGAGGCTTACCTTGACTATCCAGTAAAACTTCTCTGCGAACAGGAAAGTAGTTCCATACTCCTACCTTGGATGAAAGTCTGGTGTCAGGCAGTACGAACGTTCTGAATCAGCTCAACTGAAGGGCAGGTTTCTTTCCCAAATACAGGTCTGTTGCTCTCTGATGAGTTGTTTTCAGACAGAACCCATGAACACTCTATACTCTGAAAAATCTGGTCTCTGTGGTGATCAGTGAGGGTTGTTTCTGGGAATATGGCAATCAGCACCATGCCTAAGCAAATATCATGATGTAACAGCATTCTTAGCATGCTTTTCCTCAGAATCCAAAACTCCAAAATGGTAAGGGATCCAAATCCACAGCCTAGATATCACACATCTCACAGTACTGTTCAGATGTACTCGGATACAGATCTGATATTTAAATACTCAAAAATGCATTCTAGCAGTCCGTGTAACTACAGTTCTTTCACAGCACTTTGAATTGGTAGGAATGAAATCCCATTCTGTGTAAGATTTTCAAAATGACAATGTCATTTCACACAGCCCCAAACATTTTGATTTGCTTTGTACATGACAGGTTATTTGCAAAAGAGGGCTGAGGCTAAAGATTCCTTTCATTTCCATTCGGGAACTTATTAGATCACATCGATCTTTTTAATAAGTGTGTTTCAGGTTCTTTAACCAAGACCACCATTACAATGGAAGCATTCATTTTATGTACTACTATTCAGGGAAATCATTGTCGTTGCTCAGCCCTTCCACACATCCCTTTTGTTTTCTCTCATGAAACTGCTTTTCATCTCCAAATGCAAAATATCCTGATAGACTTCTGGCTGCTGGCAGCGTTTAGGGGTCTTAGAAAAAGAACATCTATTCTTGCTGTAGTCACTGATGTAGAAGATCCTCCTCCTCCTCCTTGTTTGCCCTTGGCTTCCTGCAGTTCACGGAAGGCAAATCCACACACACATTCCTTCCACTATTTCATATTTACCAACCAAGGAGAAGAGTATCCTTTACTCCTCATTTGCTTATGACAGCTCTTTCATCTGCTGTGTTTTCCCTCTCCATTTCTGGACTTCTGATGCTGCCTTCCCTGTTTGCTATGTGGCTGTGCATACGCTACGTCTCTTCCTCACAGCACAGCAGGCACTAGAAAAGCCTGAACTGTCATGTGTTAGATGAATTATACTGCTCAGCACAGCACTTGGGAACTCCAGCAGCACCCCGGATTCCTGGCTCTGATCACTTGCCCGATCCTCTCAGGTGTCCAGGCCGGGCAGCTTCACCCACTTTCATACTTGCTGCATATAGCAGAAAGCACTAGTGCTCTTATTGCAAAGATTCTCTTTTCCGACACTTCTCTGACAGCAGCGGGGTGGATGCACCTCCCGAGTGCTTTTCAGGCATCACTTCAGTGTGCCTTTTTCCTTGGCGAGCCCCGCGTGTACTCACAACAGCTGTGAATCTACAGCTGCCTACTCCCCCACACCCGACCCCACCGTACGCTTGAGGGCCAGCGAACACAGTTTCAGACCGAATTTATTCCCGCCTCAACGCCCGAGGTGGCTGCGCGCCGCACAAGGCGCCACAAGGCGCCACAAAGCACCCCACTGCCCTTCCCGCCCCAACGGCCACGCACGCGCACTGCACCCGCCACACCGACAGAGGGCGCAAGCAGACGGCCGTGCGCATGAGCGCTGAGGGAAGCTGCCGTGTCACTTTCCCTTTCCGGGGCGGGACGTCTAGGCCGGCGGGGAGCTTTGCGCCCCGCGGTGGTGGCGCCGCGCACAAGGCCGCCGGCGGCCAGGTGAGGGGTGTCGCGGTCCGGCGCGCGTTACCGCTGAGAGCGCGGTGTGACCGTAGTGCTCGGGACGGCCCGATCTCGGCTGGGACCGGCCCCGCCTCGCCGCGGGGAGGGGCTGCGCCGCACCTCTCGTCCCGCTGCGCTCCGGGACGGCCCGGCCCGGCCCGGTCCTGCCCGCGGGTGAGGCGCCGGGGAGGCAGGCGGCCGTGAGAGCGCGGCGGTGTGGGAGGCAGCGCCGGGAGCGGGCTTGGGGGGGGCTCGGCGCTCGCCGTCCCGAGCGCTGCTTGCGGGTGGGTGTCTCTGAGTTAGTTACCTCGTTAAGGGAAGATGGGCCGGCAGCTCGCAAAGCTTCCCTTGGTGGGAGCCGAGGAACGGCCTGGAGTTGCGTCTTTGGGGGGACGCCGGTCGGATGCCGGCATGAGGTTCCGTCCGCAGAGAGGTCGGGCGTGGAGCGGGCTGCGTGCGGCGGTCGCAGCTCCAGGGCCCGCAGCTGGAGAGCTGGGATAGCTGTCTCGGCCGTAGGGTTTGAACTTTGAATGGTGCTGTGTGGAGCCGGGAGCGGGGCTCTGTGAGCCTCATGGGTCCCTTCGACGGGGTGCCTAGCTGACAGAAGGGGTGCTTGTATTTCATGTATTGATAGCTCTTCTTCGCACTAGCATTCCATACGCAGTGCTTTCTTAACTAATGTCTGCTTTGGAGAAGGATAGCTAACAGAAGCTGGGATCCGGCTCCTTCATTTAGCACTTGTCCATATCGCAAACATTTAGCCATGCTGTTCTGGTAGTGACTGCGAAGCAGGGTTATCTTCATAGCTTTTAATCCAGTTAAAATTCATACAGATTACAATGTATACTGATAACTAGTTTAAAATGCCAGTAATTAGTGGGTTTCCTGATTGTGATTGCTTGATAAGTCCTATCAGATGATTCTACGAATGAGACACAGAGCAGGGATAGCACCTAGGTTGCTTTTCCGTAGTTCTGACAGCTCCATATCTGTTAGCAGGTCAGCAGGTGTGACTGAAGACAGAAGTAGAAATGAGGCAAAAGACTAGTGACTAAGTTTTCTTCTGTTGAACATTCTTCTGCCTTTACAGGCAGCCACTTAGCATGTCAGCAGTGTTATTTAACATACGGAATTCATTAATGGAGGTGCTAAAGCTTAAGAATTTCAAGCACAATTCTAGCCATCAAGTGTAAGGACCTTAAGGAGAAACTTACTTCCGGGGGTAGGTTATTCCAGAATATGTATGTTGCAGTGTTACTTGAGGTAGATGTCACTAGTCAGTGCTGTTAATGGGCTCCTGCTCTGTCTGTTATGTGAAGTTCAAAGTTTCTGTAATTTTAATTTAAATGTACAGCTCTAACATGAGATGAAACTTGAAAGAGTTGCTTTATAGGAAATTTTTATGAATAGTATTGGTCAATTTCTGTGTTTCATCCTGTCAGCTTTTTGTTAGCTAAAGTCTCTCCTACCTTTTATAAGAGGAGAAACTGTTCTTAGTTTTACAAAAGCCTACCTACCCTTAGGAAGCATGGGAAGGTTGTTACAAGTACGTGTCGCAGGAGGCCATCATGTAACTGCATTTTTCTGTTTTGTCACTACTAGTTCCAGACTTTCAGTATTTTCATTCAGAAAGGGTATGGGGAGGCATTTCTAAGGCCACATCTCCACTAGGAGTGACTTGCAGGTATACTATGTGTTGTGCTTTTAGCAGTATGGATTTCTTCATCCCTGTCTTGTTCTCTGATCACAAGACTTGCTTCATTCAGAGAGTGAAACAGACTGTTATAACAAAACCACAGCTTTGCAGGTTTCAACTGTGTTTGTTGTGTGGGCTTCATCCAGCATGGCTGACTTATTTGCAATCCAGCTCCTAGAATAGCTGTTTGGAAGACAGATGTAACCTGGGCAACTTTAATTCTTGGGAAGAAATTGTTTATGAGTAGCTTTTAGCTTGTTTTGCCTTTGTAGGAAGAAAAGTGGCTCTAATATTTTAGTTGTCTATTTACATTTCATTCTTTGAGTCATTTGAGCTACCCCGAAAGTCTCCAATTAATTTACTGGCAGTGTAGAAAGAAATAAGTGACTATTCCACTTCACTCAGGAGAGCCTTGATTTAGTTGCAGATGACTACTGTACACTATATATCTGTTATTTGATCTTGGTTAACCATCGTGCTGAACTTCAGCCATCCAGTAGAGCTGGGCATTGCATTTTTGCCAGTTCAAGAAATTACATTCATCTATATAGATGTGGTTTGGTGGGCATGGTGCTGATGGGAGGGTGGTTGGACTTGATGGAGACTGGATGGTCTTAGTGGTCTTTTCCAACCTTAATGATTCTATGATTCTATTTATTAACATTTGTGGCCACAGAAGCTGTGAGTTATTGCCTCATCTGTCGGAATTTTTAGCAAAGTTAGAAATATGTACTGTGCTCCCAAAATGAATGTACCATGCACCAGTGATTTTACGTATGGAACGATTCTACTTCAGGTAATACAGTAAGATTGGCAGACCTGTGCTCTGTACTTGACTTGCCAAGCTATTGAAGGAAAGAGCTGAACAAGATATGGTCATCTGCCCTTCCACCAAATCCATGTCTGTAGTACTTCTGACTCCTCTTGGATTTATCCACTGGCAGTGTTCACAGCAATAGCGTGTTTTAAAAGAGCAATTGCATTCAACAAGAACAACAAAAAAACTGTACTGTACTTCTGCTTCAATTAATTTCTTTATTTCTGTCTTAGATTTTTCAACATGTTTTAACCTACTCTGAAGGACCCAACAGCCACGTCTACTGTGGTATCATTCCGTTGTAGTTGGTACAGGGAACTGAAAGATTGGATTGTGGGAACTTCCTTGAAACTTAAGAAATTAGCCTGAGGCAGGTGGAAGGCTTGAGTCCCAAAAGTTCTACAAAGTAATGTGATGCAAAGAATTGTGGCCTGTCTTTTCTGTTCTCTAATGTGTTATTAAATATGAATAGTTCAGAGTGTTTTGCAGGGAATAAGCAGTGGTTTCACTGGCAAGTCTTTGCTAACCTAAATCTGTGATAAAAAGCAAATGTGAAGCTGGAAATTTAATAGAATTCCACAGATTGCTTAACAGATGCCTCAGAACTTTGATAAGATTTCTGCAAGGACGTGCATAGCCGCTTTTGACTTATACTGTTGGATCTTTTGTTAGATTCAGAGGAAGTCTCTGTTTTGTTTTTTAATGGTTTTTATAGTTCCTCAATGGAAGAGGTGTTGAAGACAGCCACCAGCACTGGGGGAGCATGGAGACAAAATAGTCACATATTGACACCTTCAAAAAAATACTGAGCACACGGATGGAAATGAAGAGCTTGAACCATCACTTCAGCATGGCAGCAGCTGAATCCGACAAGGACTCCGGATACTCAGGTTTAGAAAGACTGTGCTACTTTTCTTTTTTCCTCCTGTTTTCAGAGTGCTGGTGATGTTGGATAAAGCTGACTCCAACCCTTTGCATTTTGTGTTTGATTACATGGTAGGGTCTTTATATCTAAGGCAGCTTAAAAAATAATCCTACCATCAAAATTTTTGGAGTGGAGCGTTGTGTAGTTCATCGTGTGAGTTTCAGTGGCATGAGAATATAAAAACGTGCCTAACAAAGAACTGAATGGAGGAATCCTTTTCTTCAGAGTCTAGAAGTGGGAATGGAAATTAACTTGTTCTTTGCAGTGATCAATGAACTATTGGATTATGTCATGTAATGTTTTGCAGTTTGACTGGATTGTCATTAGAGCCTGATAAAACTGTGATTTTTGTAACATCAGCAAAATGTAGACAGTATGTTCCGTTTTAATAATCAACAAATAATCATACAAAGATTTCCTTTAAAAGTTAAAAGTGTTTTTGTGGGAGGTACTGTGCACACTGGGTTTGTAGGTAGCAGATTTAAAAATGCAAAAGATTGCAGCATGGACCTGAATCTGCTAGCTCTTTTGTGTAACAGCCTTCAGAGCTGACTTTGTGGTAGCATGTCATCCCTTGGAGACTAAATACAGATGAACAAAAATAAATAGATTTTCGTGGAGACAGTATTTGCATCAGAACTGTTGTGAAATACAAAGTCTTTTAATAAATAAAGGTCACTTAATAGCTGTCACAAAAGATCTAATTTTATTGGTATTGCAGAATTGAACTTTATTATTCACTGTGCTTAATTGAAAGGGCACAGAATAGTAGAACAGAAAGGAAACAGTAAGCATGCTACATGAGAAATTACTAACAGCTGAATTCTACATTTGGCAGATGGCAGTTCAGAGTGCCTAAGTGCTATGGAGCATACTGACTCTGAGGATGTCCTGAATGCGCTGTGTTGGAATGCAGAGGATGGGCCTTGGCCTTGCCCTGTGAGCACGAGCAGCTCCTTTCCTGCACTTTCTCCTATGGTTGTAATGAAAAATGTTCTAGTAAAGCAGGTAAGGAAAAAATAATGTATCAGAAAATACTGCAAAAAAATTTTTTTTTATATTTTCTTTTCAAAAAGGATTATATTAAGTTGATGCAGTCCAAAAAGTAAGCAGTAATTTGTAAAGTTTTGTTAATAACAACCCCTCTTTTGGAGAGGCAGCTAAAACTGCTAAGGGGGGAAAGAGATGAAGTACAGAAGCTGCATTGCATCTGCTGTTTGTCTCAAAGGGATCTGCAAAAAATAGATCTTTATGATGTTATTCAAATGGCACCAAAAATCAAACCAGAATAAGTATTTTTCCATTCAAAAGCTGATGATTTCTTGGTCTAGTACTAAATGTGGAGGTTGGTGGCCCTGCATGTGGCAGGAGGGTTGGGGATTCGTGATCTTTGAGGTCCCTTCCAACCCTGGCCGTTCTGTGATTCTTGTTCAGTTTAGACAAAGGAGTAGGATGATTGCTTTTGCTTTCCACTTCTTAGATTCTAGAAGTGCTTTAGATGCAATATGAAGCCTTCATCTAGAAAGTTATAAATGAACAAATCAAATCTGTATCTAAAATTAGTTTCAGTATATTTATTTGAGCAGTTTTTTTCTTAATTACATATCATGTCTCACGTTGCAACAATTACATTCCATGTTTGTACCTTCCAATATCATATTATGTGTTACTCCTCTAGCACTTCTGTGTGACATCAAAAAGGTCTGTAATGTGACAGAAGGTGCAAAAGCTACAAGTTTGAAGTACTGCTATACTGTTGGGCTTCTTGCTTCTACTCATGTTGATAAACAAGGCAAAAGTACTTCAGCCTATTTTACTATTAGAATACGTATGAGAATACAGTGAGAGTGAAGAAAAAAGAAATAGATCTTCATTCTTTTATATTGAATCTGTTTTGAAAAGGGGAAAAATCTGTTAAATGCTGTGTGTCAGAGCCAGCATAGAGGTGGGTTCTTGCTAATATTTCATAGAATCATTAAGGTTGGAAAAGATCTCCAAAACCATCTAGTCCAACCGTCCATCCATCACCACCATGCCCACTAAAATGTGTCCCTGAGGGCCATACGTGCATGTTTCTGAAATACCTCCAGGGACAGAGACTCCAACAATTCTCTGGGTAACCTGTTCCAATAATTTGACAGGTCATGCATTTGTTGGGGCGCATGGTTCTGATCTGAGCATTGTGCTTCATCTTGACAGGAAGCTTTTTTTTTATAGCCATGTTCTCAGATGTGTGGACAGAACGCACATGACTTAAAACACAAATGCCCAGGTTCTCTTGTAATAGGGAAGAGGCAAGCTTCATCACAGACTGATAGCTGTTGGTATGGGGTTCAAAAATTGGGCATTTTGAATTCTTGATTTTGTTACAGATAGGAAGGAGAAGTATCCATATGATACACAGAACTGTTATCACAGTTCTTTAGGCCTCGATGAATTTGGGGCTCCAGTATGCTGGGTACTGCATAAATAACAATTTCTGAGTCCAAAGCCTTGCTCTTCAGGTTTCATGTTCTGTCTAATGTTTATATAGCCATGGTATGTATATATACTTGCCCACTCTTAATTTGTCTGGGTACCTTTCATTTGGATGTGCTCTTTTGTCTGTGAAATAAGGAACTAATGTTAACTACTACAGAGCTTCTTGCCCACTGAACTCAGTGTTAGAGTTGGTAATTGAATCTCATCGCCAAGTCTCAATATCTGAATCAGTGGATGATGCCCACCTTTGTCAAGTTAAGTCTTCTGCTGACAGGAGTGGACTTCAGCAAAGCATGTTAGCATTTGCCAGTTTAAATGTTCTGAGGCTGAAGAAAGGAGTCTGGATTTCAGATGAATCAAAATAGTACAAAAAAGAATGAAATACTGTAGTGCTTCTAAAACTAGTGCCCTCAGCAGGCCTGCAGTGGACCACAGAAATTGGAGAAACAGCAGAGAATATATTGTGCTAGAAGAAGTGAAGATTTTTTTGGTTTTGTTTTTCCTGAAAGAAATACTATTTTTTACCAGACCATTTGATACGTCAAGAGAAAGGTGTGCAGGACAGGAGATCTCATGAAGTTCCCCAGTAGTGTATTTGTGAAAGAAAAGGTAAAGTCTTGTAAAAATTGATGTATTACCCTACCTATATTGCAGAATGTGATTTGTGGAAGGACATAAAACACTTTTCTTGAGATATAATGCTTTTAAGGCATTGCCCAGGATTCACCAAAAGGATGGAATTAAACTGCTTGGGGCTTAGAACAGGCAGTTTTCCTTGAATTGATTGATAGTCAGTATTTTTTCTTCTTTCAACTTCATGGTTTTAAATTTATTGCAACTGTTTATTGTACTCGTGATTCCAAGACTTACTGAGCAGCTACGTTAAGTAATGTCTGTGTTAAATAACCATTTCAAAAGCTTGCTGTAAGAATAGAAATGACAGAATTGGAGTTGCTGCATTTCACAAAGAGGGAGCCTGAATTGCTCCTGAAATATCTGTGCTGTCTCCAACTCTTCTGGAATATTTCATAACCAGAATTTTTCAAGTTTATTTTTCAAATCTTCTGTGTACTTCTTCTTTAGCCTCAAGTGCAGTAATAATTTTACACTAGCACTGCATGATACAAGCGTGCACTGTAATTCTTATTAGGGAAAGTGTGTGTAAATTGAATTGTTTTTAAATATATTCTCTATGTATGGTTTTCAGCTTTGATTTTAGTGTTACGTTCTGTTGTCAGAGAAGAGAAGAACAAGTTTGTTAATAAGCTGCTCACAGTATGTTACATTGTGTAGCATGTATCAATTATGAGGAAATGGCATAATTCACCTGTTTTGCTTAAGGTTTTTTAATCCTTATCAGTAGCACTGCTGTAAGAATTGTTTTTCCCCATTTATGCTTCTCAGGGGAGTTCATCCCAGCTCCAGTCTTGGACTGTCCAGCCATCCTTTGAAGTGATTCCAGCTCAGCCACAGCTGGTATTTCTTCACCCATCAATCCCACCTCCCATTAACCCTCACCCTGTCGGGAAAAAGAGAAACGATCCCACTAACTACCTGCCCATCCTGAACTCTTATCCCAAAATAGCACCACAGCCCTGTAAGAGAGACCACTCCTTCGATCTAGAGGAACATCAGGAAACCAGTTGCCATAAACGACTCTGCACAGAAGCATCTAAAATGGAGACTTCTCCTATATCAAGGAGCACAGGTTTGTCTACTACTAGTCCTTTTGCCCATCTACCAGTTAGCTTTAAGGCTCCTCAAGATTCTAACCAGCAAAGTTCTTCAAGCTTGATGACAACTGGAAAAGTGTCAAATCTTCCTGGTTTACATCGCGTTTCTGCTGACACTCCAAAAGTTCCAGGTTTGGCTTCTCTTTTGCCTTTTGGAACTCTACAGACAGCAAAGTGCACTCCTCATGAGAATGAGAGTGCATCACAAACTACAATGCAGTCTGCAGTGTGGAGCCTGCCACTGATACCAGAAGAGACTTGCACTACCCCCGAGCTGCTTTTGCAACAGCAAAGTAAGTGCAGACGCTTTCAGAATACACTCGTTGTGCTACGCAGGTCAGGATTGCTAGAGATCACTTTAAAAACCAAGGAGCTCATTCATCAGAACCAGGTGACTCAAGCTGAGCTGGACAGACTGAAGCACCAAACACAACTTTTCATAGAGGCAATAAAGAACAATGCTCCACAGTCATGGGCAGAGCTAGAAGCATCGCTAACAGGTTCAGATAAAGCTAATAGCAACCTTGAAGACTCCACTTATCCAAACATGTAGTAAAATGGTACATAGATGTTAAGTTATTCCTGTGCCTCCTATTTCCTGTCTCAAGCTTTTACTTGAACGTTCTGAGTCCAAGATGTGCAAGGTGGCATGCCATTCACAGCTTGTCTTTACAGCCACCCGTGGGACTGGGATTGGGACAGCACAGTGGGATCTTGGCCAGATGACTACTCGCTACTCCAGTATGACCTTGAACTCCATGCTAACTCTATACTGTCTTGGACTTCGGAAGCTTGGATGTGCTCTGCTGGCATGCTCCCATTCTTGCTGTGAGAAGACAGTCATTTGCAGAATTCTGCAAGCAAGTCTTTTCCTATTCCCATCTTCAGATTGTCAGTTCTGAGAGTGGCATGGCAAAACAGTCCCCAGTATTGGGCTATCACCAGTTGCAGGAAGGGAGTTGGTGTGAGGAGAAGATCAGTTTGGTGGGGTGCTATCAGACTGTTGCTGTCGATAGAGAGTCTTGCTTTTGGGGTTACAGTTGTTTTGAATTAGTGCAGATCTGCTTGTGGTGAAGCAACATTCTGTATTTATTGCAATCTTTGACCAAACTGACAAGAGTCTTAGGAGCCCGCTGACTTGATTTTGTTGAGCATATGTTGGATTTTGGTCTGTAAAGATGAATGAAGGAGAATTGCACTGGAAGTGTTTGTTTCAAAGCTGTATTTATTTGCACTTCCCGTTAGTGACTAAAAAGTGTACGGAGCAAAAGGCTTTAGATTTTCTTGGTAGAATGCAGAGGCATTTTTAAACATTGTGCAAGAAAGACACTTGTTCACCAGAGCTAATTTGGCAAGACTAGTTAAATGTTATTTTATCCATATATCTTTCGTTTATGAGGCTAAACTTTTTTTTTTTTTTTCTTTGAAATTGCTCCCAGTCTTGTTCAGCATCTGCATCAGTGACCTTGATGATGAGGGGATAGTGTCCACACTCAGCAAGTTTGCTGATGATATGAAGCTGGGAGGAAGCACACCAGAAAGCTGTGCTGCCATTCAGCAAGACCCGGGCAGACTGAAGAGTTGGGCAGGGAGGAACTAGATTAGGTTTAATAAGAGCAAGTGTAGAGTCTTGCACCTAAGGAGGAATAACCACATGCACCAGTACAGGTTGGGGGATAACCTGCTGGAGAGCAGCTCTGCAGAAAGGGACCTGGGACTCTGCAGTGTGCCCTGCAAGAATGCCAGTGGTGTCCTTGGATGCCCTAAAAGGAGTGTGGCCAGCAGGTCAAGGGAGGTGGTCTTCCCCCTCTACTCTGTCCTAGTGAGGCCTCATCTGGAGCACTGCGTCCAGTTCTGGGCTCCCCAGTACAGAAAAGACAGGGATCTGTTGGAAAGAGTCCGGCAGAGGGCCGCTAAGATGACAGAGCGCTTGAAGCACCTCTCTTATGAGGAAAGGCTGAGCAACCTATGTCTGAAAAAAGAAGGCTGAGAGGGGTTTGATCAATGTCCTTAAATATCTAAGGTGCTGGAGGCAAAGGGACAAGGCCAGACTCTTTGCAGCAGTGGCGATAGGATGAGGGGGAATGGCCACAAACTGAAGCTTAGGAAGTTACACACAGATGTGTTGAAAACTTCTTCACGGAAAGGGTGAAGTGACGGAGCACTGGAACGGGCTGCTTGGAGACACTGAAGCCTCCTTCTCTGGAAATGTTTAAGACCTGCCTGGATGCCTACCTGTGGAACCTGGTCTAGGGAGCCTGCTTTGGCAGGAGGGTTGGTCTAGATGATCTTTAGAGGTCCCTTCCAGCCCCTACAATTCTGTGAATCTATGAAATCAATTGTTAAGAATGAAAAAAAGGAGAGAAGTGAGAGTAGAGGGGGCCCATGAGAAAACAAGTCCTCCCATCTCCCTCCCCTCCTTTTTTTTGTTACTGAGAGAAATTGAGTGAATATGTGTACTTAAAAATAACTAAATAAAAAGATGTCAACTTGGAAAATCTTGCTGAAAGTTTTATCTGCTTGAGTTTGAAGTTAAACAAAACCATTTTTGTCCATGTAACTGTGTCTCATCCCTAGCCTGCTTGACATTAAATGTAGTTAAGGGCTAACATCTTATGCAGTGTTATTAGCAGACATCTGCAGTTGTCAGTTGCAAAAGCTATTCTACAGATGTCAGTTTATCTAGACACTTTTGTCAGTCCCTCCAGTAAAAAGGGTCTGTTTGTTTGCTTTTTACCAGAGGCAGGCTGTATAAACGAACTGAGAACGTCTCTTCCTATGAGGGATAAGAAATCTGGATTGATTATAGCGTGTTCATTTCCACTTGAAAATGCTTTCCAAAAAGTGTGCCATATAGATTTCTGGGTATTTTGATGCTCTGATCACTTCATTTCAGATTCCTAAAAGAGGTACTTGAAATTATAGTAGAACTCTCGCTAGTTTGTGGTTAGACCCCTTCATTTTCTGATGCCTTTGGGAATTAAGATTAGAGAAGGCTGTGGAGAATGCTGTTCTAGACTTCCTAAAATACACTCAGTAGAAAAGGTGCAAGAGATTTCCCTGTAATAAGGGGTTTCCCCCTATTTAGGGAAAAACCAACGTAAAGAAATGCTGTAGATGTCTCATGTGGAGGAGAAATGGGAGTCATGTTTTCCCTAGCCAGAGGCCTAGAGATAAATTTTGTGTTAGGGTTCCCCATAAAGCCCTTTATGAGCTGTAACAAACTAATAGCAGTGCGTTTCATTGTTCATCCTGTTCTCCTGCTGAACTGCTGTGCTGCTGCTCCTGTAGCACGGTACATAGGAATATACTGAGACGGATTTTTGAAGACTATATGGTGTTTTCACTATAACTGTGCATAATAGGATATCCCAACTTGCAGCACAGCAATATCAAAATTGAACCAGAGAAACCAAAAGGCAGGAAAGCAGCATAATACAGTGTAACAATGTAGGACGTAACTAGCTCTTCCAGAACTGCATGTGATATCTGCATTAAATGACAATTGTTGGGTGGGTAGATAAGGTGGGGCCCTGTGCCATTTGTGTAAGAATCCCAGAGGATAAGAGCTTCTTAGAGGAAGGAGTAGGAGGCAGTTCCATTGATCTGATACCTTTAATAGTCTTAGAGGTGTAGTATGCGAAAGTGCATAGGATATCTATTCTATTTTTCTTAGCATTCTTATTCTGTCTATCAATTATAGAGAGGAATAGGAAGTTCAGAATGTGTTAATAGGAAGTGATTGTCTTCCTAGAAAACACGATGGATTCAGGTTTTCTCTAGAGATGAAAGGAGGTAAGAAAAATGAAGTTGAATTCCAGCTGTATATGATGAGTGAGTACACCGGTGACCTCTTAAATGATTCTGTGTCATTACTTCGAAGGGACCTTCAAAGATCATCGAGTCAAACTGCCTAACTGCTTCAGGGCTAACTGAAAGCTAAAGTATGTTAATGAGGGCATTATCCAAATGTCTTTTCTAATATTTCTAGCATGGGGTACCATCCCCCTCGTAGAGATTTCCTCTTGTTCCACTGTTTGACCACCCTTACAGTAAAGAAATTTTTTATTTACTATTTGATCTCCTTCCTATTTCTGTTGCTCTGTTGGAGTATAGGGAATGGAAAACCTGGCCTTGCACTGACAAAAAACTTGGCCTGGCACTTTGGCTTAGGGAACCTCTAGCTGGTAAAACTCTCTCATAGTCCTCTCAGCACCACGTACATTTTTCCCTGACAACACCAAGAGTGAGCTGAAGTGTATGCTTATAGCTGATAGGCATTTCAAATGGTTAATCTGTATAAGTATGTATTTGATAAATCTGGAATAATGTCCAGCAGCTGGTTAGAAATCTACTGGGCATCAGTGCAGATTTAAAGAGGTTTTGCTGAACTAGAAAAACTCCTAGAGCTCTGTATGGGTAAGGCCAGGGCCCCATAGGAGCTGTATCCCTAGACAAATTTTGCTTCAAAATTTGCAGTTACCATAAAGGATTTTGAAGGCCCTAATAACAGATGCATTGTCAGATATCTTTCTGTTCAGTTTCTCTTAGCTGCCTTTATTCCGAGAAGTCCTTTAAACAGTAAGGACTTTCCTTTCTTGGCTGCAATTTAATAAAACAGCATAGCTCTGGTGCTCTTTTGAGGAAAATTAGTTGACTGTATTAGAGCAAGAGTAGATGTTGATTCTGGGCAGGGATCTGGAAGCGGTCCAGTGGAGATGAGCAGAAACATTAACCTCTTTAATTGGAAACATGCAAGCAGTAAACTTAGAAGGCTTTTTTTGTTTTGTTTTGTTTTTTGTTTTTTTTAACTTTAAAAGTGGCAAGACAAGTTGGTCTAAAGCACGTGTCCCAGTCTAAAAAGTCAGTGAGATGGTCTGCTGGGGCTTCAGTTCCTGCTACAATTAGCAAGCAGAGTATCTTCGTGGCTCAGGCAAACTGCTGTTTTTCTATTGAGGTTAAATAAACATTGGTATTTTTGATTACTTTTGCTACATATTTTTGAAGATCTACTGCTCTAGTTGGAATGTAAACTTTTTCTGTACCTTTTGAGTTCATTGTCAGCTTTGAATACAGTAGCCTAAGAGCCCTGTTATAAAACATGACCTTTTTGTTAAATCTTTACAGAAATAGACTGTGAAATATGAATCAAATAAAGTATATAGTTGAAAAATATATGGCTTGGTCTAGTGCTGTTGAGCTGCCAAGTCCTTGATTCCAAATCATGCTTTACTTATTTCCACAAGACCATGTTCCCCATGTGGGAAAGTGCAAATCCAAAAGTGGTACTATGATTTCTTACTGAAGAGTGACATGTGAGCTTTAACAGTGTATGTGAATTAAAGGATTTCTGGGAGGAGCCTGACTCAAAGTGGCCTGTACAGAACTCTAAAAATATATTGCAGTGTGTGACCATTGCCATAGATTTGTCGTGAAAACTTGGAAGAATTTTTCAGTTTCTTAACTGTTACTTCCACGTGATGACTGTACATTATACTCACTGTCTGTGCAGGGCGAACTCCTACACTAGCTTAATCTGCCAGCCAGATATGCGTAAGGTCTGAATTGTGAAGGGTATGGATAGTTTGTTACCAAAAGGATTACTTGGGTGAAAAAATTTAGTCCCTTTCTTGGCGGAGAATGCTCATCAACTAAATCTGTATCCCAGATTTTCAATAAAACAGGTTTTTCAAAATGTGGTTGTCTTTTCTTCAAGATCAAACTTACAGCAAGAACTAGGCAGTCATTCCCAAAACACCCAGCAACATCATGGCTTGAGATACTGTCATAAAGTAAGGTACAGGAGATTGTGCTTCAAGTTTTCTCTTTGAGCTAGGTGGAACAATGACTTGAACCATATCGCTTTACATCCAAAGAGGAGTGCCATCAATGGAGGTCTTTCTATTCACTGAGAGTGCAAACTCACTGTTTGCAGCCTTTGTTCTCCTGACAGGCATAGGTACAAGTAAAGCAGTAGATTTTTTCACCAACACAGTGTTTCCATCTCTTCTGGCTCGATTTTTTTACACTATGAAGTCTATCTACAGGATATTAGGCCTGCTAATCTTTATTTCACTGAGGACGAGACTTGCTTCTTTATCTTTCTGATAACACAAAAGTCTGAAAGGATCGGAGTCCCCAGCAGACTTGAGCTGAGGACAAAATTTCTGGCATGCACTAGGCTGTAGCTTGCTGTTACTGCTTTTTTTCCTCTCTATTCCGGGACAGAAATAGGGGCTCCTGCCTACACAGTTTTACACTCTTCCTTTATCTGTGTGTTAATTCCTTGCAGTCAGCTGTATAGTATAGCCATACAGCTCTCAACTGTATAATGTGTTCCAAAGTGTCCAAAATGCATGAGACTTCTGTCTGTGAGACAAATTTAACTGCTCGAGTGTAAATTCCACTTGTCTGACTCAGAAGACAGAAGGAAGCAGTGTTTTGGCCTCCTCTATTGTGCAGTGCAGTTTCCAAGACTTCCTCAAATTCTAGTTTGAACTAAAGTGCATCTTTGAAAGAAGCATCCAGCCCTCATTTGAAAGCTCCTCGCAATGAAGAATCCACCCAAGTTGTTCACAAGGTAATTACTTACAGTTAAAAATGTGCCTTTTATCTTGAATGTCATCTTTCAGTATCCAGCTGTCAGAGCTTTTACCTTTTGTCTGCTAAACTGAAATGCATGCTGTGATATTGCTCTTTTCACTATAGGTATTTATAAACCGAACAAGTCATTCCTCAGCTTGAGTTGTTAAAGTAACTGTTTAAGCTCTCAATTTTTTCCCATCCTTTGTTCATCTCTGGTGCTCTTCTTCATATCCCTTAAAACTATTTAAATGCATTTTTAAGTGGAGCACTTAAAGCATAACAGCGTTGCAAAGAGTTCTGCCATATCGACTTTCCCTACTGCTACTATCTCTCATTTTAGTAGCACCTATGGTCTGAAGACTAAATCTTCTGTGGACCTCCTATGGTTAGTGACCTCCTGTCCCTTAAGTATATTTCTGTAGTCCTTTGAATTCAGTTTGCATCCGGAAAGCAGGTCAAACTGATTTTAAGTCACCAGTCTCATACATTACTAACATCTGCTTCCTTCCTTCTAAGCTGGTTCATCTTTAGTTATAAATAATTCTATGTTGTATTCCAATTTAAAATAATATTAAATGACGTAGTCAGGAGCAAATTTTAGGCTGTTTTTGTTTCAGTGGAAGAAGGCAATGTTTGACAGATTACTATATGCAATCAAGGGACCATAGTTGTAATACATTTCACACCATCCAGTTAATTTCATATAATTCTGGCATCAGAGTGTGTCACATAGCACATTTCAAATACCCATCAGAGGTATAAATATATCCTTGTTTTTGTCCTCCCATCAATTTCCAATTCCATTTAATCAAAGTAAGGTCTCAATTTTATTTGACCAGTTTTATTTCTTTTAAGCTTCATTAATTTCAGTTATTTTTGCTTTATACCTGCTTAATCAAAAATTACAGGTTGTTCTAATGTTTTCTCTGTGTTCTGCAGTCAATGTTCGTTCAGATCCGTCTTCCTATCTTCTGAAAAACTGGAGCTGTATTAGATTTTCCCTCCACTAAGTCCACTGAAATCTTGCCTAGCAGTCTGAAATTCATTGCAAACACATTGCTGGTCCATAGAGCTTTTTGTTAGTTTGTGTTAAATTTTCAGTCATGACTTATTCAGACTTGCTGACTTAAAAATATTTAGCAATTGTTGTTTAAAATATCTTACAATTTTACTTTTTGAAGTGGAAGTCAAGCTGTTGTCATGATATGAGAAGAATACATCTGGCCTTTCTCTGATCACTTATTCTCTTGATTTTTTTTCTGGAATGCTTTTGCTCTTCTGCACTGCAGCAGTATGATTTCCATCTTGAAATGGAGCAGTGCCAGTTTAAAGATTCCTCCTACATCTCATGCATTTCAAGAAATGGAGGAAGTAGGGCTTTTCAGGACTGAAAGAGGAGTTTCCTCAACTTCTTCATTGTTTTCTTTTTATTGTGATCAAATTAATTGGATTAGTTTAATGGAACTGGAATGCCTCTTACTATGACCACTTAGGCAATTTCATGTTTTTTTCCATAACAGTAGCAGGAGTTTTTTTTAGGCCACTTAAATTTACCAGAGCTAAGAAATCCAATAACAGACAGAAAACCAATGCTTATTGTTTTTTAATAGATAGTACTGCTTGAAAAATTGATATGCTTTGAATGGAAAACTCACGTGTTTTTATTGGAAATGAAAATGCACTTTGTCTGGAAGCTCAGCGTTTTGCAGCATTGGTCGTAGCATCCATTTTTCAGTGAATCTTAAGCAGTGTGGAAATGCTCTGGGCAGTGTGGGTGGGCAAAGATATTTCCCTTTACCTTCATCTCCTTTTGAATCGTTTTGGGTTTCCTGTACAGGAAATGGGACCCTAGCTTTGAAGAATGGTTCCATCACCTCATGCTGAAGAAGCAGAATCTCCTGTAGCAGGTCTCCTGAGGTGAGAATAAAACTGCACCTCCTAAAGAAATTCTTAGCTCAGCAAATGCAATTTTTTCCACAATGCCCCTAAAATGTCTGATTTTAAAAAATGAAAATAAAATAAAGGGTTTTATTTAGTACAAAACACTGCCATACCAGACAGACCTTGTGCTATACTTCACAGAGGCAGTTTAATGCAATGAGAATTTTGTGAGTTTTGTGCTTAATGTGTAGAGTAAATTATGAATAGGTACTAGGAAAATTATTTTTACCCAGAATAAATGTTAATAATGCTTATTATGTTGTGCTACAGTTGCTTCCCACCCAGGAGTTAACAACAATATCATCAGCAGTTTTTCAAAAAGTGAGTCTTACGTGCTACAAAATATTGTGTCAAATCAGTTTTGATGCAGTCAGGGTATTCTCAAGGCTGGTGATGTGTTGTCAAGACAGCAGCATTTCAACTGGAAGGGGGCTGTTTTTGTCTTGACACACCAAAAGAGCACACATGAATTACGGTTTTTGGTATGTATGGTATGGTTTTGTCACTGAGAAGGTGGTCGTGGCTGTCGTAAGGCTGCAGGTACCAAGGCAGCAGTCTGACTGATACCAAGTAGGCTATCAGTGTTACCTGCTGGACATGCATATAACAACACATGAAATACTATGAAGTTATAAAATCTCAGTTTTATTCAAGGTACCCACTAGCATCCCAGTTCTTAGAAGTATTTGATCCTTTGAAACGTGTTTTTGCTAAAAGTTGTCTCCCATGCTAATGCTAGTGCTATGCAGCATGGCCAAGCATGCTCGGAGTTCAGGAGAGGACAGCTTTCATCACACTGAGCTTGGCTTTCCCATCTCATTATTCATTATTCTACCCCTGACCATGCTTGCAACAATTCTTGCACAATAAAGCTTTCTGAGTTCACTCTGAAGTGGGTGGCTGACATCAGTTACATGAGAAAGGGCCAAAATGAATTCCCAAACATTTGTTTCCACAGTAATTGCACAAGTAAGGCAAGTCTGGACTTGAAGATCATCATTTGAATACAAAAAGCCTCCAAATGGATAATGGGAGCTGCAGCCAGTCCAAACTGGAAGAAAAAGAGAGGTGACTGTGCTTGAGGTTTCATTGCTGCAGCATTTGTGGTCTGCAATGACAGCGCATCAGTAGAGACTGCCACAGTTAGAGAAGCAATGCTGTTCAGCATGAGGGGGTGTGTGGAGGCACCAATGGCTCTGACAAGCTTGTAGAGGTTAAAAATGAAGCTGAGCATTCAGGAGATGCACCTTCTGGCCACAGCCATGCGGTTTACTTCTATGAAAATCTATGAGATGCGAACTTAAGGCTTGCTTGCACATGAAAAATGCTACCCTGCTCATTTTTTTCTGCTGCCAAACTTGAAGCAGTGAAATTAGGCAAAGCAGAATGATGCACTGCCTCTGTCTGATCCTGAAGCCAGCAATGTTACAGGAAGCATCACTGCAGTCTGTAAGGCTTTCTTCTTTCAAATTCCATCGCTTCTCCAGCACAGTAACACCTTCCAACCAGAGATACTGCAGCCATCTGATGTAAATCTGATGTAAATGTTATCGGTGTGCTTGGCTGGGTGACTGGAAGCAGATGAATGCCAATAAAATAAAGATTTTGAATTCCCAGGGGTGAGATTACTTCCTGATAGCACTTTTCCTGTTCTCTGTCATTATAACAGCTGTGCACGGTTGAGCACATATGGGGAGTACCTGTGCGATCAGTTCATCTAGATGTAGTGGCAGTTAGTTCAAGCACTCAGCAGTCCTGCAAAGAATCACTATTACCTCTTAAAAAATAAAGACAATAACAGCAATAGGCCACTGCCTGCATCTTGTATTAGTATGGAGAAGGGAGGAAAACAGTTTGTTGTTCCCCAAAGTCTAACTTGGGAGCGTTTCCATAATTCCATTACTGCTCCCGGTTCTGATGTGAGATCAGTTCTTAGCACATCATTTTTCAGTAGATGGGATAAATCATTTAAAATATAAATGTGACTCAAAAGAAGTCTCTGTTTGCCTGGAATTGTTTCTGCTTGGAATGGAACCAAATGTAGCAGCACTCAATTCTTGAACTCTTTCATGCATTTCCATGGCACTCAAGCTGCAGGTCAGAACTGCTTTAACCCAAACGTTCATAGCATTCATAACAACATGAAATTGATATTGGCAATTATGTGCA